CTCAATGAATTCCCCACCCAAACGATAGTGATAGTATTCAGTGTGGTGTATCTCAGCTTTATCATGTATATATAAAGGCTAACTAGAGAGAATACTCAGTCAGATATCCTGGGGGCGTATAGACTCATAAAGCAAGGAGTGGTGATGTTCGAGAGTCCAGAAAAAGGAATTTGGTAAGATAAGGGAGCAGCTTGCATTCCATTCTCCTCTTGAACTCCAGGTGTGAATTTGCATCCGGTCTTCTCTTTTGAGGGCACCAGGAAGACCATCCCATTTGTATAAGCAAAGACAGGAAAGTGCCATTCTGCTCCAGTTAACTGCTTGGACTTTTCCTGCCTCCATCTCCCCCACCTGCCTTGCCCTAAAGAAACACAGTATCTTGGCTAAATGTTTCCTTCAGCAATTGCTTTATTGTATCCCCTCCCTCTTTTTTTACTCAAAGAAAGTGCAATTAAATGCCAAGCATCCTTCATATGCAGATGACAACCTTTTGCTCTGCTCTACAGTGACTGCTGAAACAAAAGGAGAGCATTTTTTTAAAAAACAAATCCATCAGGAGCATGTCAGGGCACAGTAAGTTAACTTCACACACCCGTCTTTCATGACCCCACACTTCCAAAGAGAAGGCCATTCTCACTTATTCTTTTCCAAAGGCGAGAAGCTGTGATGCATGACTACGTATAGTTGACTCAGTTGCGCCATTTCACCCAATCGCTGGGCTCAGTACAACACAACCTACTATCTGCTACTCATGCAAGCTGAAATGTTGCAACACAGCCTAAACAAAGCAGATTGTAGCCTGATGCATTGCATTGTTTTCAAACCCAATGGCCTTTTCTACCCAGGTTTTCTTTTGGCAGCCACTCAAAAGATTGTTACTCTTCATGCCTCACTTTCTTATGGATCAAGTCTCCTTTGAATTCCTCTCCTGGTTAAGTTCAGAGACATATTGAGTTTTCTCAACAGAATTGTGATAGTGGTTTTATTGTCTTTTTCAGGCCATCTCTTAACCTACAATTCTGAACTCTCCTATCCAAATATTAATCAGATTAATAATAATCCCACTTGGCTTTCTACCATAGCTCAGTCAAGGATCTTAATCATTATTCCATGGGTAGAGATGTGAGTTCAAGTCAGAACTGCAGTTCCCAGAAGCCCCAGCATTGTGGACCATGGTGAAGTATGTCAAATTATATTTCAGCCACATTTGCACAGAATTCTCGTTTCCTGTTTTATCCCACATTCAATGGCAACTACCAGGAATACCCACCTGCTTACATCACTAGTTTGACATCCTCACTGGTATGTTGTACTGTAGTTGATGTTCTTATGCCCCAGGCCAGGCAATGTACAACAGATAACAAAAATGATGTAAAAAATTCAGTGCCTGTCACCTTTCTTTATGTTGATTATCTAGCAGTTGAACAGCTCTCCTAGTAATTATTTTGCATCTTGCAAAGCCTTTTTTATTTAGGTTCATCATTTGACTATAATAGGACAGAGATGCAAAAAGCTGAAAGAAAACTGGATCCTTTCCAGGACCACTAAGTTACAAAGGAAACCATTGCAAAAGGTGTACAAGCAAATTTTGCTGCTGGAGTATATAAAATTGCAAGATTAATGTGGTTAGATCTGCTATGCTAATAGTGCCAAGTAGAATCCTATTGGGCATGAGTTTCATGGGAAAAGAATGGTCCCAAAGGATTGATTGACCCATACGGTTATTAATTATTGATTTAAGTCAATTGCAAATCACCTGTCCCATCCAGCTGATCCTAGTTAAGAAATTAGCTAGTTGTAATTAAGACTCAAAGATGACCATTAATGTATGCTACATGAAAACAATAGGCTATCAACAGATCATATGGCATCAAAAATATTTGAAAAGGTGGCAAATGGGTACGTTTATATGGCAAGAGGAAAAAACAAATTAGATATAAGTTATTGCAAGATACTCAGAGGTTTGGGTTTACTAAATTTGAAAAAGTACTTCAATGCTTGCTGTTTGGCTGGCTTAAAGAGTCTGTCCAAAATAAGTTATTCGATTTGGAGGGCCATGAATTAAGATTTAGATGGCATGCTTACTTATGATACAAGGTTAAATGTTTCAACAACCATTTTGTTAAGACGGTTTGGAATAAAGTAAGGCATTATACCAGGAAGCTTTTTGTAGAAAAGAAAGGATGGCAAAGTCAGACTGGTGGACCTATGGTCTAATAATTTTTCAGTCAAGGTAAACCTATCCCCAACTCTAAAGAAGAGTTGGAATCAGAAGTATGAATACATACTTCATACATGAAACATTGTATGATCCAACGGGCAAATAATTTTGGATATGATGCTTGAACAATGGGAAAATATGAGGACGAAGGGTTTAAAACTTCCATTAAACTACAATTCAAAAGAATTTTTTTTATAGCATGATGTGCCAATGGTATTTAACACTGGATAAATGGTAAAAAATGTATAAAGGGATTTGAAATGCATGCTGGAAATGTAAATGTAAAGGAACATTTTACCATCTCTGGTGTACTTGTGACAAAAAGCAAAAAAATATTGGGAGTGGGATTCGTATCGTAATACCTAAGAATCTTAAAGTGAATATAAAGGTAAAATCAAATTTGCCTCCTAGGCTTAATGGACAAAGAACTTGGGGGGGGGGGAATAGAACTTTGATGTTATGTAGTGGTATCTTAGTATTCATCAATTGTTTCTGGGAAATCCAAGTACCAGACTGAGGAGTACTAAACAATTTTTCCCCATAAGGATTATGTAGTGAGTCACAAGGCAGCTGATACTAATGTTCTAGCTTGTGCACAGAATATCAAACAAACGAGTACCAGGATTAATTTTTTGCGTCAAAATGCATCGAGTACTAGGGTAATGAGTCCCAAAGCAGTTGAGTACCAAGATACCACTGTATATACTGAAATCAGCAAGAATGCTCTATGCATGAAAATAAAAAGATATTTTACTGATTATAAAAAATTGATGGGAGTTAGCAGAGATAAATTGCCTATTTTATTTAAAGAATACACCTAGCTTTGTTTCCATTTGGAAACAAAGCTTCTGACTTTGTGCTCGAGGAGGGAAAAACAAAATAGGATTTTCCTGGTTTGTTATAGAAACAGTTAATATATATTACTAAGTAAATTTAAAAATTGAGGCTGTATGTTATCTTATTCTACTGCACTAAAGAGTTAGAAGTCAATGTTTTTCTTTTTCTCTTACTTTCCCATTATTTTCATTTTTTTTGGTATTTTATATTTTGGTAATTAATAAAGAAATGAAAGTGGGAAATGACAGCATGTCAAGGTATGAAAAATGAAATCATATTTCCAAGTATTAAATATATAGTTTTTAAATTCTAAGAAAATTTAAGTTACAAAATGTAAGGCCAGGTATAATATACCGTATATGGCATTTAATTAAGTACTGGGCAGCTCTGCATTAGAATAACTTTAAAAACTGTTCTGCACCATAATACATGCTAGATTTATAGAAATCTCTCATCTATATGAAGGATGTGATTTTGTTATAATTATTCCCAATGTTTATTATAACTTTTGCCATGGATCTTTTGTCAATTCTAATTGCAGCATGGTAGATGTGTAATAAATAGCACATAATTATCAGGACACAATCTACATTTGGTAAGAGTTCTCAAACATATGACCCTCTGAAAGTCTTTTTTTAAATAAAAGCCCGACTTTAGATCTCTTCATTGCAACTAACCTCTGCCAAATTGACTTGTTTTGTGTTTTTGAAAAGGTATCAGGAGATTCTGTAACACAAAGTTGCCAGACATAAACAGAGCAATAAGCTTGAGAAATTGATACTAAATTACTTATCCCTTGAGCCTTAGCCAATTAATCCCAATTACTTTCCTTTTACAGCAAGTTATCGATTTCTATTCTTTCTTGGAGCATCAAGGCATAACGCCTTTAAAATGAGTGTCTGATGACAAACTGTTTATACATGGCAACGACATCAAGGTTAATGTTGCCCAGTCTCTTTATAGCAGGCAAAGAAAAAGGGAACTGCTGTTCCCCTTCCTTCAAAAAGGAAACCTTAATAGCCATGGTAGGCAAGGGAAAGAGAAACAAATCTGTGTGGTGTGGGAGTCAGTTAACGAGATTCAGGACAAAGTTGCTTAAAAACCAAAAGCTAACTCAAGATTGAAAAAGCCTCTTTTAAATATCTTGTTGCATCAGATATCCGTGGAATCTTCTTTTTAGGTTTATGTAGTTAAGCTTTGTTAACCTTACATATTACTGAACTGGGAGTCATACGATACATTAAACTAAAACCTAATAGGCAGTGTTGTGACTTGATACAAAGTTGTGGAAACACAGAGGGTTTGAGTGTGGATGAATCTATAGATTCTGTTTTAGGATTAAGATTTAGCAACATTTGAGCATTCTTTCAATAATGGTCTATTCAAAGATTTATGCAGTCAAAATCTTCCCATTCCAACCTTCCAAGTTGCATTCATTCCATTGCATTAGAGAACATGGCACTTACTTAACCAAAGCCTGGGTGAAGCTGCCTACAAAAAACTGAACAGTGTTTTGAAATTCATAGCAAACATGCCTGTTCTGGGAAATCAAAATTTAAATGCACACTATCTAGAATATTCAGAGGCATTTCTGGACTGCTGTCCAAGGAATCTCAGCCTGCCTGAATGGCTGGCTATAGGCCAGCATATTAACTATGCTAATCTGCCTTATTTGCCAAATGCTTAGAAGGAGGAGGAATCAGTAACTGTCAGTACTTAATGATCTTTACAGTGTAGAAGGATTTTCTGCATCAAACCAGTTCACATCAATTCTCTCTGTGGAATATTCTGGGCAATCACATTGGAATTAAGCAGCACAACATTGCTTTCCAATATAGTCATCGAGAATGCCTTACTCTTGGTCAGTGAACCCAGAATGAACAAATTTGGTCTATTTCAAAGCTATAGCTTCTCTTCTTGCCGCAACAGTATCATTAACTACTTTTATAATCGCACCAGACCGTTTATTGGAAACTTTTAAATATTTTCAAGAAATTTCCAAGAGTTTCAAGAACTGTGAGGTGGGACAAAGTGAACCACTGGACACTTGAAAGCATACAAGGTTTGCCTCAAAGGTAAACTCATGAGTGTTCTTCAGCTAACTTATCAGCCTTGGCCACGGCTTCCTCAATGGGCCCCACCATATAGAAAGCCTGTTCTGGGAGATGGTCATATTCTCCTGCAGAGACAAAGTCAAAAACTGGAATCAGTAAAATTGTTAGGAAGAAACAGATCACAACTACATGCCCTTTTTGCCCATTCTATCAAGATCTAAATAACAAATAGTAGCTGAGCACCATGGTTTAACTGTACAGATAGCCCTTCCTTAATGATAACTGGGAATGGAATTTCCATTGCTAAGTAATGCTATTATAAAGCACAACATTATGTGACCGCATCCCTTAACGGCAAACCCAGTAATTCCTGCTGCCATCTTTGTGAAGATTTGTGAGTCATTAAATGAGGACCTCCTCAAAACATTTTGCCAGTTTCCAATAGTAAAACTACCTGCAAGTCTCAGGCAGTTTGCAAGCAATTTGGTGGATACGTGGCTGTGGCAGGCAGAGCATGGCGAGGTTGGGGATGGCTGCTGTGGACATATGTACCCAGAGCAGAGTACAAGATACTTGGGACCTTGTACTCCTTAGCTGGGCTCCTCAGGAGAAAAAGCATCAACTTGAGATGACCTTCTTTGCGCCTTTCCCCAACTGACTTTGCTTGTGGGAAGCTGGCTGGAAAGGTTGCAAAAAGTGATCACATGACTGCAAGCTGCTGCAACCATCATTAATCGCAAACTGGCTGCCAAATGCCTGCATCATAATCACATCCTTAAGACTTTCAATGACCAGTCACTTGTTCAGCACTGTCATAATTTCAAACTGTCACTAAAAAACAGTGTTCAGTGAACTTGTTAATTGAGGACTACCTGTAATTCTTTGTAGTTTCATTACAGAAGGCTATTCTTTTCCTAGGTTTGAATGGAAAAATGTTGACACTAATCACTAGATCATTATTTGGGAAAACAGCCTACATTACATCTGGAAAGCAATTAGATTGTAGTTCAGTAGATACCTTGTGACTAGAATAGGGAAAATTAGCCATGAGAAAAGATGGCCACAAGGCGGCCATTAGCTTCAGGGGGTTCCAGTTCCAGTTGCCATACATACCTATCAGAATCTGATTGAATCCTTTGATCGTTTCTTTCAGAGGCACCAGCTTGCCTGGATAGCCAGTAAAAACCTCAGCCACCTGGAAGGGCTGGGACAAAAATTTCTGGATTTTACGGGCACGTGCCACTGTCAGCTTATCCTCTTCAGATAATTCATCCATACCCAAAATAGCGATAATGTCTTGGAGGGACTTGTAGTCCTAGAGAGGAAACCTGCAGGTGAGTTGAGACAGCAAGGGCACCATGGAGTGGATCAAGCCACTTGTCATCCTATCTACATTCTGCCTCTTCCAAGCAGCTTTGCTGCTGGCTTGCAGTATTATACTTGCTATAAAAATGTATTCATATTCTACATACACAATTAAAAAGAATACAAAAAAGTATTTACTAATTCATAAGTTTGAATTCTATGGTTTTCACACACACCACACACACACCCAATTCACCTGCAAGATCTTTTGCACCCCACGGGCCACATCATAATGCTCCTGTCCCACAATATTAGGATCCATGATACGTGAAGTAGAGTCCAGAGGATCTACAGCTGGGTAAATGCCCAGCTCTGCAATGGCACGAGACAGCACAGTGGTGGCGTCCAAGTGGGCAAATGTGGTCGCAGGAGCTGGATCTGTCAAGTCATCAGCTGGTACATAGATGGCCTTGGAAAAAGAAGATTTACATTAACAGTCCAGTTGTATAGACAGTTTTAATGCTAACCATCAGCAGCTTTGTGTAGCTATTTATATAGCAGGGAAGCAATTCCATCAGATCCCACATAGGGAATGGAGATGAATAATAAAATTGCCTTCCATAAATGAGACAGTAGCAGTTAGCAGTTAGACTTATATACCGCTTCAAAGGGCTTTCAGCCCTCTCTAAGCGGTTTACAGAGTCAGCATATTGCCCCCAACAACAATCCGAGTCCTCATTTTACCCACCTCGGAAGGATGGAAGGCTGAGTCAACCCTGAGCCGGTGAGATTTGAACAGCCGAACTGCAGAACTGCAGTCAGCTGAAGTAGCCTGCAGTGCTGCATTTAACCACTGCGCCACCTCGGCTCCCAGTAACATAGTACACCCTGAATTGGTAGAAAATATAATTGGAGAAACAACATTTATACCAAATTACCTGCACAGAGGTGATAGATCCCTTTCTCGTTGTTGTGATCCTCTCCTGCATGGTACCCATATCAGTAGCTAAAGTAGGTTGGTAACCCACAGCTGAGGGGATTCTACCCAGCAAAGCGGATACCTGGAAGAGAAGATTAAAATCTTCTGCAGTTGCCAAGGTTGCTTCTTTTATGATACAGAAAATCTCAGACAAGGCATCTACGCTTCCCCTGCCCACAATTTGGGAAGATCCCAATCTTATTATAAAAATGTTCTCCTTTGACTGACAAGTTGGTTTAAAGCTTACTTCAGATCCAGCCTGTGTGAAACGGAAGATGTTATCAATGAAGAGCAGCACGTCTTGACCCTCCTGATCTCTGAAATATTCAGCAACAGTCAAGCCTGTCAAAGCAACTCTGGCACGAGCACCAGGTGGCTCATTCATCTGTCCATAAACGAGAGCAACCTATGGGGGAGCAAAGAAACTTAAAATTACACAAAATATTAATTGTCCCATTTCATTAGCGTATGGCTAAAAATTTCCTGCTCCATTGCAATAAATTGGTGTATTATGATACATACCCAGAAATATCCTAGTTGATTTATTATCCTACCAACTCTAATGTCTTTTTGAAACTTAATGGGATTTACTTCTAATAATATACTTTTCTTCCAGTCTATGTAATTCTTTCATAAAGCGACTATCTAATATATGTACACTTCATATTTTGTTCAAAATATTCCTGATGAACTAGAAATCCTTTCAGTCCTTGAATTTCTTTCTGGTATTGTCAACACATCAACCAAGATCAAGAGCGGAAATTCAAAACTGCATGCCCTCAAGAATAATGGCCAATTTCTGGTGCAAGCAAGGCAGCAGATTAAGCCAACCCACATCACACTTTTGAAGGTTAGGGCCACAGCTAAAACCCTGACTTGTTTGCTCACCTTGGATGTGGTATCCTTCAAGTTGATGACACCAGACTCTATCATTTCATGGTACAAATCGTTTCCTTCACGGGTTCTTTCTCCAACACCAGCAAATACTGAGTAGCCACCATGAGCTTTGGCAACGTTGTTGATCAGCTCCATGATCAATACAGTCTTGCCTACACCAGCACCACCAAACAGACCTGAAGAAGAAAAAAGCTGTTTCAGTACCAGAGAATGATTAGGAGCTCCTCTTCAATCTCCCATTTTCCTTCTCAGAGGATGAATTGCTTCAGCAATATCAGAAGAACGAAAGTCAATGAGTTTTGCTCATCAGTGAAGGAAAGACAGCCAACATCAGTTGTATGTAAAACACTGAGACTGCTAATGATTTAAAGTCCATGCTATGGCAAGGAAGCTGCAGAAACACAACGGATCACCCTTCTACCTCACTTAACTTACCAATTTTACCACCCTTTGCATATGGGGCAAGAAGGTCCACAACTTTAATGCCAGTCACAAGGATTTCCTGTTCAACACTCATTTCCACAAACTCAGGTGCTTCAGCATGAATAGCAGCAAACCTGAAAAAAGTGATTGGTCATATGTTAAGTATATCTTTTTCCAAGATGACCAAAACTATACAGTTCCCTTAATGTAGACATATAGTTCAGTGTCATATTTCATATTAATGTTGGCATATTTTTTAAATTATCCCTAATATGGAATATTCTTGTCAACTGCAACTATGTACTAACTCACCATTTTGATTGACCATCCACTAGGACTCATCTTAGACCATTTTCCCCAGTTAGCTAGATAATTCAGGTACCACATATGTGCAAAATTAAGTTTTCTTGCCCCTTCAGGCATTTAGGAAATGGCATGGAAATTAGTGGGTACACATGTTGTCTCTCCTTTTCTATTTCACTGACAGGATTTTATGCTTGAAATATAGTTTTCTAGTGGAAAGGAATACCAGGTAAATAAGGCCATCCAAATAATGAATGATGGTTGCCTCACTGTCTTCCCCCAAATTTGTGCTTACTGCTTGGTCTTTATTGGACCTCTTTCATCTATTGGCTCTCCAATCACATTCATGATTCTGCCAAGGGTTTCAGGTCCTACAGGAATTCTGATTGGTGTTCCAGAATCCAACACCTTTTGGCCTCTCACCAAACCTTCAGTACCATCCATAGCAATGGTACGAACAGTATTCTCACCTGCAATAGAAGAAATAGAACAGAAGCTGCCTTTACTCTGAAATAATGCTTGAGCAACAGAAATGTACTGTAATTTCAAAAGTTATTTTTTACCAATGTGTAAAAATAAAGAATCCAAATAGCTTCTAGGAAAGTTGGTAGAAGGTTGTTTATAAAAATGTGCCTTTTATTATGTAGGTAATACCAGCTCTAGAGATCCACAAAGTTCATGCAGTCAAAAAATTAACAGAAATAATTTTGGAAAAATAATTCACTGGAATCGAATGCCCACTTAGACATGCAAAATGTTAAGTATTCTTTTATTGGAGAGCTTCGGAGACATACGGAACCTGGAAACATAACAGGAGGCTCATCAAAGCTTAAGACTGGTCCACAATATCAATCAATGATGCTAGCCTACTTGGCCTCAGAACCAAATGTTTTCTGATTAAAAGACTTCCTTTTCAGATCATAAATATGACTTCATTAGGTTCAGAAGAACGAAAGTCATTTTTATTTATCATCACAAGGAGCATTAATAGAATGAAAGCCATGTTGATCAATGACATTTACCTAAATGCTGAGCCACTTCTAGCACCAAGCGTGTATCCCTGCCTTGCACCTCAAGAGCATTGAGGATTGGTGGCAGGGCGTCATCGAACTGGACATCAACCACAGCACCAATGACTGCCACAATATGTCCAGTGGCGGCTCCAGCTTTAGCTGCAGGAGATGTTTGTGCAGCATAGTTCCGGCCTACAAAAGAAAGTACAATCAGCAGGCAAATTAGATGCTTAATTATACATCTTCACAATCAGCAATGTATAAACACCCCCACTTCCCGAAAAAGATGTAAGATTGAGATTCTCCTCTTTCCAAGATAATTTCAATTGTTTGTAGTTTCATTCCCAGAGTTGTCATGAGTTGGGCAGCATACATTTTATAAAGAATTCTGCCAATTATATAAAATTACTCAAAGCAGCAATCCAGTCAGATATATTTTTCGTCAAATACAGAACTCTGGAGGAAAATGAGTCTTAGGTTTTCCATAATGTTTTGAAGGGATTTCATTCTAAGAATACATTAGTGCCAAGCTTTTAAAGAAAAACTTAGAAATAACTTTTATGAGACCCTGAATGAGCTATATAGAAGGCCAGGCTTTTGCAATGGTCAGCCAGGAGAGATCAATAACCATCACTCCCTTATCACAACTGGAATTCTCACAGACCAATAATAGGCTCTGAAAAAAATCAAAATGCAGATGCCTGAATAGCTCTCTGACTCACTACCATCGAATTACTGATAAAATAATTTCTTCCTCACAAAGTCTGGATTGTAAATACTCCAGTCAAGGTATACTAAAGATCTTTATTCCCCCAAACTCATGAAACCTATGACCCTAACAAGCATCCGCCTAAAATTCGTTTTTCTGCTCCTAGCCGATGAAGCATTAGTTCTCGCAAAACCTTCCTGAATCCTGTCAGCGCAATTTAAAACAGTCTCTATGTGCACCACATGAAGGAGGTTCGTGCCTAGATCCCAGCGAACCAGCGGGAATCCTCTTTTATCCTGCTTGGCCCATTCTGCTGCGCCTTTCTTCCCACCTTCGCCACCACAGCCACAGAGGAAGGGGATGACAAGCGGCGTGCAGGATCCGAGCGCGCTCCGCAATGCTTCCCCTCTCATGCCCTCTAAGTGCCGACGGGCGCCATGTTTGTCCTCGGCAAAGGAGCCGATCGAGCAATATTCGTGCTCCCAGGTCGTCGTCTTCCTCCTCGCTCGCTTCCGATGCGACCGTCATCGTCCCCAGATCGTCTTACACGAAAGCAGGGGCTGTATCACCACAGCTCGCCCCCCCGCCCCCCCCCAGCTAAGAACAGCCGCAGCGAAGTGTCTTCCTCGCCCATGCAGAAAAGGCCAGAAACCGTATCTAACAGGGTGGGCAAAAACCGATTAAGGTGGCGCAAACCCCCATCTGTGCGGCCGCTGACACGTAAGCAACGACCGGGGTTGGGCATCGGGGTTTCTGCAGAGGAAGGGCGACGCGCCGTCCCGCCGTCATAGACACCGAATCAAAGCCCCGCGTGTCCTGCTGGGGTTTCTCCCAGGCCAAACGCCTGGCTCGCTTAGCCGGGAGAACGCAGCAGAAGTCTGCTTCTCTCCCCGCTCCCCTTCTCCGAGGAGAGGCCTCGGCAGGATTAAGGCCAGCCCCCCATCCGGGCCGAGCGACACCCTTGGTGCAGGTGCCTTTTTCTAGGACCGTTCCGAACGGCCGGTTCTCCCCACCCCCACCCAGCGCTAGGCCGCAAGGTGACCCCGCCCTCGAGCTCCTTCTGTGGCTTTGGCCACCCACTTACGGGCTTCGGCGGCAGCGGCAACCGCACCGCTCCGCAGCTGCAGCAGGTCCTTGAGGGGACTCGACGCGCCCCGCGCTCCCCTCAGCAAAAAGGAGGCCGAAGAGGCGCAGCAGCGACTCGCGAGCCCCAACATGGCTGCCACCGGCGAAGTGGAAGAGCAGCCCTACCGCCGACTTAGATCGGCTTCTAAAGGGCTCGCAAAATCAATTCTGGATCCGAATTGGTCAATAGCCTTGTCTTTCTTAAAATCTCATTGGGTACCCTCCTGTCACTCACGCGCTTGAGGACTTGCTGATTGGAAAAGGCTTAAAAACTCCCTCTGCTTCGCTCAGGCGTCTAAGGGCGGAGCTGTGGCACATGCTGCGCTCTCCCAATACTAAAAAGCTTCCTGGGCGGGAGCTACGCGCTTCGCTAAGGGCCTCTCGTTATTGGAGGGCATCGATGCGTTTCAAAGAAATCCTGCTTATTAATTGGACAGATGTTACAAGCCACGCCTCTAAAGGAACTTCTACCTATTGAATAGAAAAAAGCGATTAGGAATGTAAAAGAGCTAGCGCTCTTTTCTAGACTGAAGGCAGAACAGATGCCCTAGGTTTGTCCTTGTGTAAACTGAAAGCTTCGGCAGTTTGGTAGGTCAGAGAGATTATGGGGTGTCCGAGTGGCAGCTATTGCGTTGCGAAACGTGGAGTGCGTTAAGAATTATTCGGATTAGATTTACATTTAACTGAAAAGTTATGATCCTGTGCAGTGTTAACCATATTTAAACCTAGTGAACTAATGATATAAAATATGGTTCTGATCGAAGTTTAATTAGGTCATTAAATTTCCAGTATAACTGTACAAAGGATTTTGATGTAACAATATTAACTCTCCAGAGAATCAGTGGTACATAACACACAGGTAGGCTTCTTAACAAATCTGTGTAAATTTGATAATGAACAGCTACAATCCCTATTTAGGAAGAAGCAAGCTAGTTGTTTAATATGGGGTGTATATTAGAGTTTCCATAAAATTATACGTACAGTACCAAGATTTCTTGTATTTTAAAGATCAGGGGCTCACTTTAACACTGTAGCAAAAAACATATATAACATCTGCATTTTGGGATCAATTTAGAAGATAAACCATATTCTAAACTTTAGGACAAACCAGTGCATCCTGCTTTCTTTTCCACATTGAAGCTGATACTTGGTCTTCCATGATAATTTGAGGAATATTCCTTATACCAGTTAGTAAGTTTGCAAAACTATAAGTGTGTAGTATCATTCAATTGTCCATTTATGGGATACAGTAATGGTTTATCTCACTTTTTCCTTGCTTCTTCCGTTCCATCATATTTGATTCTGCCTGGACAAGTCTCTGCAGTTTTCTTGGCAAGATTCTTCAGAATGGTTTGCTGTTGCCTCCTTAAGAGTTGAGGGAATGTCACCAAGATCACCCAGCTGGCTTTGGTGGGACTAGAACTCAGGCTGTCCTTTTTTCCAGCCTGATGGCTTAACCACTAATCCAAAGTGGCTCTCTACTATCTCATTAGAATTCACTGTTTCAATGGACTAAATAACTAGGGATAAATCTAATTTTCCAAGGTATATTTCAGCCATGCCTGCCACATGTTGTCCAGAAAAGTAAACATAATTTCCTAAACTCAGTGATTAAGATTTAATCTCAGCACTATTAATGCAATTTTGTGCAAATGAAAAACTTGCTTCTACAATGCATATACCTGGATAAGCAACGGGTTGTTAATAGTTCACCTCATTATGTAAATACATGTTATTTGGATTACAATACCTACCTATATTTGCAAGCCAAGATTTTAGTGGGAAATAAATCTAGACGTTCTTCCTAATTATCAGAAATCCCGGATATATATCTGGTTTTATATTGTTTACTATGTCTTAATAAGAAAGCTAGCTTGAGGACAGAAATAACTCAAATTTATCATATCATGTGAATTTCCGTGGCATTTCCAAGCTTCGCTTCTGCCAAATGAAACTCAGAAACAATCAGGAAGAATAACTGAATTCAACATTGAAATCAGGATTGACACTGATTTCAATGATTATCAACCAAAGTTAAACATGTTGGAATAATTTAGATCTCTTTGAGTATAGGTTAGTTCAAAGCTACTTCGTATTGTAGAAAGTTATGTCACAAAAGACATGAATTTTCTTTTCTCAGATTATTTTATACACACTGGTGATTATTTTATATTACACTGGTGAAATATATACAAAACATGAAATATCTTTCTCTAGAAATACAGGCTACAGATTTCAAACTCTACTGAAAAATAAGTATGGTGGAATGGGTCCTTTTTTGTAATTTTCATTTACAAAAAAGAGGGAAGGCTTGAAACCCTTAAACATTCCCACCCTGAAGACATGCACCTAGAAGCAAAAACGTCCTGTTAACAGATTTAATTATTCCAAAGCCAAAGATGAGCTAACAATTAGGTAATCAGGAAAGGAAGGCACACTTTTTGCCAAGAAAAGTCAGCCTTGGCAACCTTGTAGAAGATCTCAAAAACAAGAAATCAGGGCCTCTAGTTTACATTTTAGTTTACGGCTCATTGATAGTGCAAATGTTGGTATTCTTTTATGCATATTAGATGTTACCAAAATACCTATGAAGCATGCAAGCCATCTTTTCCCATAGACACACTGTAGTTCATCTAATGGAATTTAGTTTAACAGAAACGGACACTGAAGAGGACTCTTGGTTTCTCGTCTCTATTGCAATTGAAAGAAGTTGGGATCTTGTGAACTGGTGGACAAGCTAATTCTAGCCTTGACCTGTAACAGTTAGTGAATGAGAACAGGATGTATGGATGTCAAGAGTCCAAAATTTTCCAAGAATAATGGATGTGTTGCTCTGGGGCTAGGTGAGAGCAGAAAACCAGTTGCTTATGTTGCTTTTCAAAAATGTCTGGTCCATGATATCCTGGGACATCAGAGCGCCAGGGTGTCCTTGATGAGGCGACGCATGGTGGTGGTGACAGAGGTCCCAAGTGAGTCAGTGATTTGGTAAGAAATCTTGTATAAGTAGGGCTGGACATCCCTCAGCCCTGTATCAAAGACGTTATCCACCTCTGACTGGGTAGGCATCTTGGGCAGGTACTCATGTCGGTTCATCACTTCTACAATGTTGATAATCTTTTCACAAAGTTTCTCACCCACCTTTTCACGACATATCTGCCGTTCCTGCTCATTAGCCAGACTCACTACATTTACCTTGACCGTCCAAACTTCCCAAGGGATGCACTCATCTGAGAAAGGCCAGCGTGATTTCTTCTTCTGATAAAACTCCAGGGAAATTTGGCCCATCCCATCACTGCCTGAGTTTCGCAATGCATCCTAGGGGGGAAAAGCATTATTCCATATTTCACTGGAATAGTTTTATATTTTCAACATATTTATAATAAAATCTTATGAATATTTATTTGGATCAAAGTTATGTCATGCTCAATGATGTTTTCTTTTTCTGTACAGAAGATATTCTAAAACTAAAATCTCACTAATGACACAAAGACAATTTTGTTTTCATATGCCACCCTCTAATAAAAAGACTTGAAGAAGAGTCCTTAATATAGTAGGTCTTAACACATGGGTATAGTTTCAATCATAGACTATTTTCTCAATACTTGTTTCTAATACAGGTAGACCTCAATTTACAACTGGTCATTTAACAACCTTTCGAAGTTACAACTGACTTCTCTAGACTTACCTATAATCTATTTTTGAAGTTACAACAGCAAACACACACACACACACAAAATTGCATTTTGGGCACTTGGCAATCCACTCATCCTTATGGCTATTTGCAGCCTCCTGCAATCACATGACCTTTTGCAATATTTTTTGCCAGTTTCCAGCATTTACTATTGGTTTGCAACAAAAAATACCTATAACAGAAACTTTATGACCACTGCAAAAAAAGTAAAAAACCAAACATCAGGCCCAGTCATGTGACTTGCAACTGCAATGAATTACAGCTTTTATACAGCTACAGAAGTGGCAACTCAAATTGTTATCTAGGGGAGGAAAAGAAGCAATTACCAATTTACTGAAAAAAAGATAGAAATATAACAGTTTTTTGAACAATAGCCATATAGTCACAACAGTATAAAGTATCTTGTGGCGCCACTTTAAAGAATGTATTTATTATGGCATAACCTTTCATGTGAACCAAGAATTTCATCAGATGCATGCCCTGTAGTATATTTACTTTCATGGCAGCAGAAGAGAAAGAAAAGATTAACAATGTAACGTAAAAGATATAGCCAAGAATAATTGCGTTATAAAAGTGGCCACTTATAAAATGATTATTGACCATAATGTACTTTTGCAGTGGAAAGCTGTACATGATAACATCCTCAGGACCTTAGCAATATGCACATTCTTCAATAATGATACTCCTAACACAATATTAAAATTGTGATCATAAGTGTTAATGCATATAATTTAAAGTTCTTTAAAGAACTCTCTCTTTTTAAAGTTCTCTTCCCGCCCCGCCCCCAATCTATTCAAATGGCAATCTAGAATGTTTGCATTTTGTATTGTACATTTCAAATGGGAGTTTCTGCTGGTACTGTCCATTCTGCTGATCAGGATGCTCCCTGCCTGAGCTGTTAGAGATGGTTTTAGATGGTTTTAGATTTGATGTGTAGGACTTCTAGAATATTGGTTCTAGAAGTCTTCTATATCTAAACTGGGACTGCCTTAAAGGGACCACTCAAAATGTCATAACTCTCTTGATAATGATGAATCTGTCTTAACTTGTTACTGTTCCAACACAAATAGCAAGTCAAACTCTGGATTTTTTTTTCCTATTGGGCAGGTGGATGGTGGTTTGAAAAGGGGGCTATGTTTATATCTGTTATTCTGTCATATATTATTTTCTATTGAAAATGACGCTTGCAGAGACTATTTTTCACTGCAGGGGTGAGGAACTCCATCATCTCAGAAGATGATAGATTCCAATGGCTTCCAGAAGGCTCGAAGCATTTTCTATTATCTCTGTCAAATTTTTGGCTACAGGGAGGATGACAGCAGCTGAAACAATTGCTCTTCAATCTCTTCCCAATTCAGCCCCTTGGTATACATCTCAGTTGAGGGCAAAGCAGGCAGTTGGAGGAAGACTAAAACACAAGTAGAAGAAAATTCATCTTGAATCTGATTGAATGCTAGTAAAAACTCATTATCAAGCCTACACTGTGACAACATTAGAGGATTATTTTCTCCCTCTGTTGTGTACCCTCAGCACCAGTGGAACTTTTTTGAGTGATGCAAGGAGTTCAAGGGTCTGTCTCACATATGAATTATATATAAAAAAACCCATAGTTGTTGGACATGTCAGTTAGATAATTCAAGGATAAAATCAGTCTAATTTGGCATGACAGACTCTACTATTTGTCCAAGGACCTGTCAGATTTTTTGGGATGAGTTTCAGTTCTTAAGGCTTCAGTGATGCAGACAAGGTAGTTGATTGTGTTTGGCAAAACCTGCTTGTTTGGTCTTTACTTCTCATGGCTTAGTATATGTAGTAGATGGGGAGTGTTTACTATAACCAGAAGATTATAAATATGTTGCTACAAAGAGTGGTCTTAAGCTTTATTAAAGGAGGTTGCAGTGAGATGATTACTGAAAAAAATGTAAACATTTATAGGCCAAAAGCAATAGCAATAGTACATAAACTTATATACCACTTTACAGTGCTTTTATATCCCTCTCTAAGCATTTAGAGTCAACATATTGCCCACAACAATCTGGGTCCTCATTTTACTGATCTCGGAAGTATAGAAGGCTGAGTCAACCTTTAGCCGGTGAACTTGAACTGCCAAACTGCTGGCAATCAGCAGTCAGGAGAAGTAACCTGCAGTACTGCACTCTAACCACTATGCCACCACAGCTTTTATCCCTCTCCTGACCAAGGGGATTGAGCATATGGTGGTTAATCACATCCAGACATTCTTGGATGAAATCTATTTCTCTTTCAGTAAGAATGTAGACTTAGTATTGGTCCCGAAACTACCTCGGCCATCATGTTGGATGATTTTTTTCTCAGAAAGAGACAGGGAGAGTGCAACCCTGTTGATTCTCTTGGATTGCTTGCTTAATGCCACCACAATGATACTCTATGGGAAAGATTGTTCACTTTAAAAGTGAGTAAAATGGGCTTTGAGTGGTTTAACTCGTACCTAGATAGTCTTCTTCATGATGTTTATGCTGCCTAGTCCTGTAAGTGTAATTTTATCTATCATGTGGTTCAATTTTTACATGGAACCACTGAATACATTCACTCAGAGATATGAAGTAAATTAGCAGCATACCAATATTAACCTCTACCTTGCTTTTTCACAGGTGAATCAGTCCTTGGATGCAGTAATGGATTGAATAAGGGCCAACAAACTGAAGATCACTCCAGATAAAATAGGGATGCTGTTAGTGGATAGTTTACCTACCCTGATGAGCAGAATTCAAAGAGCTTTATATGGAGTTACATTTTTCAAGAGGATTAAATATGTGGCCTAGCATGGTTCCTTATTGTCCTTTTAGTGCCAAGCAAAGACATTTTTATATTCCTACTCTGCTTCCCTAAAATAAGTCCTCCCCTGAAAATAAGCCCTCCCCAAAAATATTGCAACACAACAGCAGCCATGAGGTGGCCACCCTCGCTGCCTCCTACACCTCACAAATAATAAGACCTCCCCGAAAATAAGGCCAGTCAAAAAAGAAAATAAGAACCTGTCTTACGGTAGGGCTTTCAAAACTATGTTAACTATGCTATGATCCTAAACTTTTCAATTTTGTTTTTCTCTATGCATCATTAACAGTATATTGCTAATTTTGCATTTTTTAATTTTAATTAAAGTTTTAAAATTTGTAAACTGACTGTAT